ACTTCGTAAGCGGCGATGCAGTTGGGCAATTGCTAAAGACATGAGAAAGACAAATGAAACATTACAGAAAAGCTTATTCCTTAGAACCGATACTTCAAAGGAGGATGATGTAGAAGAGAAGTCCGAAGTGCGAAGTAGCTTGTCCGTTGCACCATATCGCGTTACTTCAGAAGGCGATAAAAAAAATTTTCTATTTCTTAAGCCATGGCCTCGTACAGTTATGGAAGACATGGGGATAAAAAGGAATGCAACATTTCAGAAGAGTACTTCAGAGGATGATGAAAAAGAGAATTCCAAAGCATCATGCAGATCAAAGCTTTCAAGGCTGTCTCCAACAGCGCAAAGAAAGCTCAAAGAAGACATTGGGACAAGTACAAAAAGAAGTGGACCAATAGTACTGAAGGCACAGAGTTCTGAGGATGAGGGAGAAGAGGAAATGTCGACGGTGTCGTCTTATAAGTATAGTAAGAAACCCATTGGTTTTGGTGCTTTTGGAACTTGTGTTTATTCAGGGGAGAACACAAAAGATCGCAGAAAAGTTGCCATTAAAAAAGTAAATTGCCACACACAAAGACAAATCCGTCAATATAAACGAGAAGTTAAATATCTTTTGGTTCTTAGTGGTTGCCCCAATATAGTTAAATATTTGGATGTTGTAGTGAAACAAAATGTTGTTTACATCATGTTGGAGCTGATGGAGGGAACACTGGAAACATTAGTAAACCAACCCAACCTTATGCATAACATCAAGTTCACTGAAGTTTGTTACGACATCATAAGTRCCCTGCATTTCCTTCACAACCAGTCGAATAAGACCATTATCCACAGAGACATCAAACCAAGAAACATTCTCTTCGTTTCTTCACCAAGACTCATGCTAAAACTTGCAGACTTTGGTTTAAGTAAAATGCTAGACAGTGATTCCTCAAGTATAGGGTACAATGGTGGTACCAGATGCTGGATGGCTCCAGAAGTACACAGAAGTCTGGACCAATTCTCCACTGCGTCTGATGTATTTGCAGCAGGGCTCGTACTTCACTACCTGATGACATCCAAGAATCCATTTGAACCGACAGATGTGGAATGCACTAAAGAAAATCGTCTTTATGTGGAGCATAAAACTGTTGAAAACATTTTAAGCCAAAATTTGAATATTCAAAACTCCCTTTCCCCGGAGGTTGATCATCTCATTGACCAAATGTTGAAAGACGAAAAAGACCAGCGCCCTAATGCAGAGAAGGTGTTAGCCCATCCTTTCTTCTGGTCTAACCAAAAGAAAATGAAGTTTCTGGAAGCCACAGCAAACCAACCAGAAATCTTTCAAAAATGCACAAGTGACTTCAAGAAAGATCTCGCATTGACTCAGTTGGAAGCCCAGTTTCAAACAGTACGATGGTCAGAACAAAGTCCTACTATGGTATATATATACAGTAGGATGATGATGGCRGGGAGACGCAAGTACAACACCACTTCAGTAGCAGAACTACTACGTTTCATGAGGAACGCATATCAACATGTGTCAGAACCAGGACGCACAACTCTCTTCAAGGAATATCTCTTGAAAGACTTTATCTTCCAGAAGGAATTTAAATCACTATTGATGTTTACGAAGTTGTTCAAAAGCATAAATGGGATCAAAACAAAGAGGAAATCGTGTGTATGATGTCGTCTTAGAAGAAGATATATCTTTATACTTGCCACCCTAGAACTGTGCAGGTTTTTAACAAAGGTGCATCACATGCACTGGTTGCAAGGGAAACTGTATATAAACTATTTTCATAGAAAAACTTGTACTGTATTCCAAACCTGTTTGGACTGTTAGAAGGACTATTAGCAACATAGCATGATCAAGTCATGATTGAGCACATAATTTTAGTTTCAAATTTACATTTTATAGATTTTACAAACATATATTTTTAGAGTAGTCAATAATCATAGTCTCGATGTTCATTAATAATTCATTGTACCCAAATGAATTAGATTATGCAATATTAATATTTTATATACCGATAATAATAGTTATAGTTAGGAAAAGCATGGTCTGTGTTCAAAACTCTTAGAAGTTTTTGATTTATAAACAAAATTGTCATTAGTTTAGAACTTTATAAGTAATATATACAGTATGAGTGGCCGTGTTTCAGCATTGTTATTACCAGTTGACAACATATTGTTGCCCGCTGAGAGCCATTGCCAGGGAAACATTGAAACTTGTTCATGTCCACGTGATACCCTCTAGCCCAATCAGAGTATAAGAAAAATGTACTTTGACAGTTTGTACATATATAACAGTTTATGATAAATTGTATTCATTTTATAACACTGAATATTTACATATTGATTAAAATACATTGAAATGGTAATCACAGTTGATGGGTTGAAGCCCCACTAGTACAGTAATAAAGTAAGTAAAATGAAGTTGTCAGCTTGAAGGGCTGGTTGGACTTGCGGGATGCCTGTGGTAATTCATTGTTTTGTATACTGCAATGTGAGCTAAAAACGAATCTCCTTGACCTGAAAAAAATGGAACATTTTTGTGAACACATCTTTACTTGAAAAGTTCTAGAAATTATGAATTCCTTGACCCAAGAGGAATTGTAAGTTTGGCATATCCTCTTGGTATTGGACCTCAAACTCTTGCTACCCAGCTCATYTTTCCCCATACTAATCCCAATGAAGGGAATCAAAGGTGGCATAGCAGAAGTGTCACTTGCCTCTCACCTCTGGGGTCTCGGACTCAATTCTCATGCAGGCTCAGCTTCACATGTGAGTAAAGTTTGTTAGGTTTTCCCCAGGTTCTCCGGTTTTCCTCCCTCCACAAATACCTAACACACTAAGTTATGTGAGTTAGTCTTGCCTTGACTTACATCAGCCTAGAGGTTTTTTCAGGGTTCAATATGTGAGTAAGCTGTGCCCTGACTTACATCAGTCCAGAGGTTGTTTCTAGTATACAGTAAGCCCAAAGGCTATTTCAGGATATAAAGTATTGGCTCTTAAATCGCATGCCTTTCCCCCGTGTCACATATTTCGAGCTGAAACCTGATGTCCTTTTTCCTGATCATTCCTGGGGTTCAATTTAACACAATTGCATGCAACAGTAGTCTTCTGGAACAGTGACTATAAGTAGTGTTGTCAAGTGAGTTGCTGTGCAGGAGACTATTCCAACAAAAGTTCAAGAAGATCTCTCATAGAACTTCAAGGCAAGCCGTGGATAATTTTAATTACAATAAATGATGTTATACCTGAGGCGGACGTCGACAGCTCTACCCATTCCATTAACCATTTCTTTAATGCTTCTGTGTCCAAATTAGAAACATCTAGACCACGACGATGGCACAACTTCAAAATCAAAAGTATTCCATGAAAATTAAACTTTATGCAGACGTCCAGTTTACATCAATAACCAACTGTGCACCAGTAAAACATACCGGAAACCAGGAATATAAACAGGTACATAGACTTTTGCAAAGTCTGCCACCCTCTGTAAAGAGGGTGTCACCATTAAGCCTGGTTTTCACTAGCAGCTCAAGCACAAGTGCAAGCATAAGACATCAAACTTTTTTAATCTTTGTGCTTGTGCTTGCATTTCTCAAGCGTTTTTCTTGTGTTTGTATGGAGTCTTATGCTTGTGTCGCTAGTAAAAACCAGGCTTTAGATGCCTGGATACATTTAAGAGTATTTTCAAGGCTAGTGCATTCATATATCTGGGACAAAAAAAAGTGTCTACAATAGAAGTTGTAYTAAGGGACAAGGACAAAAGAATTGTCATCTTACAGGACCTGGTTTCGGGGGGAGGGATGGTGTTAAGTGAAATCTTAAATTTAGTCCCCAAATATCTCTAAAACTAAAAGCCAAATCACAGAAATGAATGGACTGTCTGTCTGCATGTATGCTAACAAAAACTTATTTGTGCATAGAAATTGCCACTACAGACCCCCAGTATCGAGCATTTGAACAGGTCTCTGAGGCGGGAGGGGGTATGTACCAGTATTCACCACCTTAATTCATAAAATCGGGTCCCTATTTTGGACCGTTGTTTTGACCTCACCCCTAATTYATGTAGAGTACTATTTGTCACTCAAAATCGAGTTAATCCTCAAAACCACTCACCCTGCGGATCTTTTGATCATCTAGAGTTTCTAAACCCTCTCGTTTTAGGGCAAAATCTTCCTTGCGGATTGCTGTTATGCGCCTTTTTAGGTTTCCTCGTAACAGACGTCTTGGAAGCCATGGAAATATGAGCCAAGCTTGACTTAATTTTTTCTGTTCAAAAAATTGAATAAGCTGGACTGATAAGTACTATTTATAGCTTYAGAATTGGAGAATATTTCTGTAGAGTGCAACACTATAAACAAATAACATATAACTAGCAATATTTAGTACTAAATAGCACTGATGAAACAATAGAAAAACAAGATATATTGTACTAGTTTTGTACTATTTAGTACATTAGTGCTTGATAAACTTAGTAAGTACAGTTTAACAGATTTCATTTTTAAGATTAGGTCACCACAGAAGAGCCTGGCATGGAGTCAAAGCTTTTTTCTCCAAGATTTATTAACTTACCAAGTGGAACTTGGGCAACTCATTAAATCCAAGTTTATCTTCAGTAAACTTATCAGATGATTTCAGTAGTTCCTCATTTGTTGGATGGCCTTTGTTTATAGTCTGCCATTTTAAAAGTGCAAAGTTATAATAAATTATTGACAAAAACAATAGTTTAATTCTGTTTACAGACTTACTTAAAGTCCTTCATCTCCATATTAGTTTACTGCGCGATAAATATAGCCCAGGCAGCCCAACCATGAGGATCAAATGTGCTGACTTCTTTCTCAACAATTTTAGTGACCCAAAAACAAGTCTGAACAATGCTTGCCCTCTTTATCAATGTGCAAAATTTAAATTTGCACACACTTCAGTCTAAATGCATGCCATTTTTAGTGCAAAACCGTAATGGCTAAATAACTTTATGTTTGAGTTACTGGTGTGACAATTCCCTTAAGTAATGAACTCAGGGCGATTTAGCCATGCATTACGGGCGACCGAACCATGAATCCAGGCGACTTGAGTCTGGGCGAATGAACTCACAGGTGAATGAACTGTAATCGGGAGGAATAAGTCAACCTCTCACGACTTTGATGCTAGCTTTTAATTCACTTGCTTTGCTCTCAGAGAGTCTCAGAGAGGACAGCTTGGAGCAAGTCTAGATTTTGAGATGTGATGGTGGTTGCTATCATGATCAAGAGTATCACTGCAGACATGGGAGTGAAGTAATTTTTGGCAAATGGATTTTCTTTTTTTTTACATTTTTGCTAAAAGTAAATGTATACTCCATAGCGCCCTTTTGTCCTCACCTTTATAGAAACATCAAAAAGTTTTTCATATTCTTTGCCTGGTTCTTTACCCTTCTCTTGTAGAGCGTACCTCCCCACTTCTCTCACTAATGGTAAGTAGTGGCTTCTCCTTTTTGCTGCGTCATGTTTGATAAACTTCTCTTCTTGACTGGGGAGCCAGTAGTGGTGTGACAATAAATGCTTGGGGTACATGAAGCTGAAATTTTAAAACATTTTCCTTTCTGTAACAAACACATAATATCGTAATAACAGTTTGGATAGATAAATGAATGAACCAACGAATGAATGGACAGATGAACATAAGGTTGGAWGGATGAATGAATAAGCATTTTGCATATAATTGAAGAAAACATGCAGGTGAGCTGAATGCAGTTACCACCATTTGCATTGCTATGTGGCCACCCCAGACAAAAATCGCGATATGCACTTTGCAATAGACTGCCATCAATCAAACAGGTTGATGTCATTTACATGTGTTTGGATCAGCCCAGATAGGCCCAGTGAGTGTGGCTCATAATACTTTGTAAACAATCGACAAGTTTTGGCGCCTTTTGAATCACACACGCGTGTAAATGATGTTGACATCAATGTGTTTGATTGACGGCAGTCTATTGCTTAGTGCATGTTGCAATTTTTGTCTGGGGTGGCCACATAGCAATGCAAATGGCGGTAAAGTACACACTCAGGTATTGGCAAAACACAAGAGATGAATTCAGGAGAAACACTAAGTATAGCAGAATGCTTCTGAAATGCTTCACAACTGCACCTGTATAGCACAGTAAGCATGTTTTTTACATATTTTATAAAATTCAGATAAACCTTATTCAGCACCAACATAATAGCATTATTTATAAAAGAGATTTCATAATGCATATAATGAAAGGCATTGCATTGACTAGAGCAACACCAGTGCTGCTCAGGTACTTACGCAATAAGTGGAGCAGCATATCCTATGAAAGGAATACAGAAGACGAAGACTGCAGGCAGTGTCTTAAGCAAATCACTTTTCATCTAAATTTAAATTGTAATCATAACTTAATAATAATAATAGTAACTAATTAACAATTATTAAATATTAGTGATTATCAGGGAATATTTACCGAGACACGAGTCTTCRAGCGGCGAGGTAAATATTCCCCAATAATCACTGAATCTGAGGCAAATRATAATTGTTTTAGTAAAAATACAGAGGTGATTCTTTCAAAAAAACAAAAAAGAAGAAGATAAAAGGCATTTTTTTCCGGTAACAGCAACAAAGCAGCTGGGCTCCATTTTGGATTTTCGCTCAAGGTGATTATCGTGTGAGTTTCTTGACCAATCAGCGCGCAAGATTTTCTATAATCACCTGCGTATTTTTACTAATAACAATTATTATTAGAAATAAAATAATTACTTATGAAGTGCAAAATCAAGTGATTATGATCCCAATGCGCSACACAATATAATATGAATCATGAAGTATTGCAAAAAGTAAAAATATATTTAGGGAATTATAGCATGGACAATAATAAAATAGTGGCTGTATTAGAAGCATCTAATGTACTATTGAATTGTTGCGCGCGTGCATCTGCGTGCCTGTCAATTCCCTTCCTGAAAAATAAGATCTCTCAATTCAAAATGTAATGAGATGAAACAAGATGTACAAAAAAAGGAAGATTGTGTAATAAGCTGAAAATGATCTCACGTTTAACTACCGTTTAGGCAAGCCCTTTACAGAAGTTGCATCAGTAATCGTATCTTACCTGATGTAGGTGAAGAGTTTCATCTACAGTAAGAGCATTCCAATCCTTTCCACTAGCCCTGAGCTTTTTCCTAATCGCAACTAAACGCTTAACATCTGATCCCAAGTCTTTACTGCCAGACACAAATTGTTTCATAACACGTCTAAACTGATGTAAGCTGCCATTTCCTTCGCTTTTGCCGTTGCCATTTTTTCGCGTTGATCTTGCTATTGAACTCCCGTGAACTTCGTTAATATGATACCAAGAAGACCCTAAAGGCCTTAGGAAAGTATATAAATCATTTCTTACTGAAATATTGGAGCCTGAAGGCAAATAAAATGAATGAGTTTTCATCAATTTTCTTGTAACTCTSACGGCCATCTTAGATATTTTGATTTTTATTGGCAAAACGACATCAAACCGATTGCTATCCGACGTTCTACCGAAGGCCTGGTAAATGATAGAAAGGGAAAACATTGAAATGTTTTATATGTTTTCTCTTGCAAATTGTTAAAAATAAAAAGCATATTTTTTAATTATTATTTTTCAGCAGTTTTCTTGTAATTCTGACCGCCAATGACCGCCAATAGGTATTTTGTTTTTGATGACCAAACGACATCAAGCCGATTACTTTGCGACAGTTATACCCAAGCTAAAAGTAGGAATGCCGAGGAATGCCTGGTTATAATAGCAATTAGTGTAAATGGAGAACGTACAGAAATGTTTTATATGCTTTGTCCTACAAGTTCTTGCTTTGTATTTTTACTGGCTTTTTTTCTTTGGAAGCAGAAGTATTTCTTTGCCCTCTCTTATCATAGGTGGTTCAAAATTTACCTCAGAAGATGGACTGACGGTCTTACAAATTACATGTCCCACAGAAGAATTAGCCAAAAAACTGTCTCATGCTCTTGTGGGCAAAAACCTCGCTGCTTGTGTGAACATTATTCCTAAAGTAATATCAATATACTCTTGGGATGGAAAGACTGAAGAAGACAATGAAGTATTAATGATAGTAAAGACAAAGATAAGCTTTGTTGGAAAAGTAGTCCAATTTGTCAAGAATATGCATCCTTATAAAGTTCCCGAGGTCATTAGTTTACCTATACAGGATGGAAATCAAGATTACTTGCAGTGGGTTGCTGATGCTGTAAGATGAGAATGGGGTTTGGATGACGTTTTTAATTCAAAAGATATAGTGGGATTACCTTTAAACATTTAGTAGATTATTAGATTTTTACTTTGTATTAGTGGTATGATATATTGGCCGATATATATATACAGGTACTATGTTAGTTTAGTAAAAATACACAGGAGATTATTGAAAATCTCGCACACTGAATGGTTGAGAAACTCACGCTATCACACAGTAATCACCTCCAGCGATAATCCAAAATGGTGGCCAGCCGCTTTGTTGCTGTTACTGGAAAAAATGTCTTATATTTTCTTTTTTTTCTCTTTTTGAAAGAATCTCCTGTGTATTTATATTAAAACAATTATTTGCCTCAGCCTCAGTGAATATCGGGGAATATTTACCTCGCTGCTTGAAGACTCATGTCTCAGTAAATATTCCCCAATATTCACTTCGCCTTCAGCGAATAATTGTTAAGTAAACATTACAAATTGTGCATTTTAATTGCATGCTAATGCTACTATACATTATATCAAATTCCTGGACAACAGGTGACTGAAGGTGATGATAAACATAGAATCAAGGCTTTTTGTCATTGGAGGAAAGCAAGGGCGGATCCAGCCAAAATTTTAGGGGGGGATAATTGAGTTTAGAGGGGGGCTAATTGAGTTTATTCCGTCAACACGACGGAAAACAATATAAAAAAGCATCATTTTTTTATGCTGAAGGGGGGGGGGGGGGCTTCAGACCCCCTTTGCCCNCCCTGGATCCGCCCTTGGAAAGGAGTAAAGTCGAGTTTTGTTATCTTGAACACAGTATATCTCAAGCTTACTGTTATCTAGCCTATGTTCACTGACGATTATTTTGAGAGAAATTATATACAGGCTGAAATTATACTACCTGTACATTTTATCGAAAGTTGAATTTCACTATGGACTTGGCACTAACTTTCTGCCCAGAATATCTTGAACCCCTGCTATTTCAAACTCCATTTTTGGTAATCTAAGACAACTGGCCTACTCTTGATTACCATATCCATTTTGCCCTTGCCTTACAATAGGTCTTTTAATTAACTAACTTGCAAAAAAATGCTAGATTTTAAATCCTATCRATGTCAACTGCTCTACCTTGTGAAGGTTGTAGAGGTCTTGCTAAGCAATACTGTCAGATACAATTTGGAGGCAATCTTCAAAGAAATCATACTATGTCGCATGGATAGATGAATAAACTTTATTTGTACACAGATTTAAAACACTAAAACAAAGACTAGAGTGCTTTACCATTGAGCCATTTATCCATGGTATCTTTTGGCTACATAAACTGACACCTATATCTGGAACAGTGCCTGGGTTGAAAGCCCGGGGGGGGGGGGTACTCCCCTATATTTGCTATACGGGTATGTGCCGTGCTATACGGGTATGTGCCGTGCTATACGGGTATGTGCCGTGCTATACGGGTATGTGCCGCCCTATAGGGTATGGTTTTTGGGCTTTTGGGTCTGGGGTAGGGTATCATTTTTTGACATTTTGTCTGGGATAGGGTATCATTTTAGTCTGGGATAGGGTTAACGATTTGGTCATTTTTGTCTGGCGAATAGGCTACGCTTCCTGCCGGCACAAAAACAATAAAAACATTAGTAAATATTGATTGCAATCTATTGAAAAACTGTCTTTTAGTCTGGGATAGGGTGTACAATTCTTAGTTTTAGTCTGGGGTAGGGTATGTAAAATCAAAATTTCAGGTCTGGGATAGGGTCAGGGTTTTGAGGTCCTGGCGGCACACCCCTACCCAAGTTGGGGTGGTAGTAACCCCCCCCCGGTGTTGAAAGTTGCCTAAATTCTGTCTGACTCCCTTGTATACCTTGATAATAAATCAGTTATGCACTAGTCAATTGAAACACCAGCCCGAGACTCCAGGGACAGGCATGCAGGGGTTACATTTGCCTCATGCATAAGGTCTCATGGGCGATTAACRAAACTAATACTGAAGAGTAGCAGGTCTAAGGAATGGAGTTTCGGTTTGAGGAGATGGTAAAATGGCAAAAACGAAAAAATAGAATAATAAAACGTGAAAATTAAGAATAGAATTGCATAAACGAATATAAAGATGGAGCAAAGTAACTGAATAAGGCAATAACTAGGAAGGTGAATCTAATAAAAATCAAGAAGTTACATGTATCTGTGATTATTCTCCCCTATCTCTGTTACTGATAGACATTGCCTCCATCCAATAATTTTCCTCTTGGCCAAGAAGTCTTACTTCATCCCACAAGAAGTCATTTCATGACATGTATATTTAATAACTAACCAATAACTAAAAAGCACCTGCTGTCAATCAAACTAGCAYTATTTTGTTTATTGGGTTTCCTGTGTGCGTCCTAGTCTCTCACGTTCAGGACTAATCAAAATGGCGGATGAGAAGTGACAGTGTTCCAATTTGTCTTTTATTTAAAATGTTGATGTTCCAACGAGTGAGGACTAGAAATATTATCTTTTCTGTAAACCGCTATTCCTTAAGAAGTGGCCAAAGGCTGATAGCAGATGCAAGTGATAAATCTAATCCTGAAGGCCCAAAGAATGGCAACACAGCCAAAAAATTACTCCAGAAGATGTCGAACACTTTTAATGCAATTCCTTCTACAATCCAGGAGAAAAGTGAGAAGATAACTAAAGCGTCTCTAAATAAAATATCTGGTTCTATTAGTGCCTTTGATGACTTGCTAGGGATAACAGAGGTAAGGAATGCACAATCGAAAGTTCGAGAAGCTGAAAATAGATTCATGGATTTGAGGAAACAAGTACAACAGGCTGAGAAAGAATTGGAACTTGTTCGTGCTCATCTTAATGATGTCCGTAAACGACTTGATCGTGTGTCAAGGGACGATGAACGTTATCTTTCACTGGCTACAGAGGAGCATGAAACACTCTTAGAGGAGAAGAAACTTAAGGCATCTCATGCTGAATTAGAGAGTCAGGAGAGGGATCATTTCGCATTGCTTTCTGGGATAGTTCGGGAGTCGCATGAGAAAGAAAGACAAAGAGCAGAAAGAACAAAGCATTGGTCTGTTATTGGGTCTCTGGTTGGAGCTACTCTTGGTAAGTTGTGCAAAAATAATCTGTGTGATTCCAGAAAATATCCATACCTCAGCATGGAGTAAATTGGAAATTCCCAGGGGGTGGGGGGTCAGAGGAAAATAAAATTACAAGGTTTGTTGAAGAAAATTGGAAATTCGAGGGGGATGGGACTTTTTTCAAAGTTTCTCCATAGACCTTTTTTAGAGATAGAAAACATGGTGCATTGTGGTTTAGCTTAGGTACAAACATCATGCCTTATATGGTGTTGTTTGTACTGAATCTAGACCACAATGTATACTGTTTATTGACAGAAAAGGTCTATGGTGGGGTATAGGAATTTTCAACAAAAGCTCAATAGAACATGCAGTCTGACCGTAATTGGTGCGAATGTCCTGTAAAGACTGGAAGGAAATCAATATAATGGACTTTGATGACATCAAATTGAATATATCACATAGTACCATGTTTATTTTGATGAGAATAAATACCTTTGTTTTACCCCACATATCCTCAACCCTATGTAACCTATATGAGGAAAAACCTCTTTTTCCAGTTGACTTGACTGTTGCATGAGAAAGGTCCAGTGTTCTTACCAGGCCATTGCGGGAATCGCACATAAAAAACAGAAATGGCACACAAATGTCAACTCTATGCGCCCCCAAGGGCGCGTGAATTTTCCAAAGAATGCTTCCTTATACTTTTAAAAGATTTACTTTCGAAATGATAAAAGTCGCATTATATTTTCAATAAACAAGGTGAAAGTCCACATGAAACGCCACAAATCGAACATAGCCGCCATCTTGTATTCAACTTGCCAAGAAGTCTGGGACTAGTCTGTATTAACTGACCTCGTTTATTGAAGGCTCAAGTATGGCTGCCCAGCGAAAGTTTATTAAGTTGTCATTACTAATAAAACTGTATGTCTTACATTGTTGTTGATTTGCAACAGAGTTACTGGCAAAAAACATTATTATCTTTAACTTTGTTTTAAGATTTTGAAAAATGGCCCATCCAGTTTTCTGAATGGCCCCTAAATTTTGGATTGGTGGGTCCTTCGACCCCCTGAAAGAAATTCCTGGTCAGAACACTGAAGGTCCATACATGTGTCTCTTAGAGCCCATGCAAATAAGTCATCGAAAACGTGTTCAGATATTTGTAATTCATGGTGATGTGATTGCATAATGAAACAAGTTTATATTTTGGACTAGTATGTTTAACCCCCCCACCTGAGAGAGCTTGTCTCAGGCTGTATCTCAGTGTTAACATGTCCTGGGATTGGTGAGATTTGGAATTAAAAGTTTCAAGCGCACACACACTCTAGGTCGGATGACATAGAATTTGCAAAAGGAAAATTTTGTCCTAAAAAATTTTAATATTCAAACTGATAAAATCAAAAACTCTGTGGTGAAATTTCTTCAAATTTTGCATATGGCTTTTGGTTCGTGGTCTTTGGCTGTCTGGGTTTACTTGCTGTCATATTATAGCGTTAATTTTTTTWAAAATTCATAATTGTGATTGTATGTGAAGGCACAAAACACTTTCCAGCCCCCAAAAGCAATGGCAGATCCAGATCCCCCCCACCCGGATCTGCCCTTGATAAGGACATCTGCATAAGGAAGCTGTACTGTATGTAGTCCTAAATATACTTTTTGAAGTTCTYGACTGAATTTGTTATTGCTATCTGTAGGTGTTATCAGCTCTTCTCTAATCAATTACCTGAGACTAAAAGAAGTCAAAAGTTCTGTGAAAGGAACAGGAGAAGAACTGATGGAAAAAACTACTGAACTCCTCAATATCCTGACATCCCAGGACTCAAAACTGGCAGCAAACAGCAGTGAACTCAAAGAAGCGTTTGCAGCACAGAACAAAGAGGTCACTGATAAATTAGAAGATGTAAGAGAAGCAATTGATACATACGCTTTGAGTGCGTCAATTGGCTCAGATGTTGGTACTATTGAATCAGGGATTAGTCTTAAGACCTTGACTTCTCAACTCAGAGAACTTGTTCAGCTTCAATTGGCGGCAGAAAGGGAAAGAGTGGAGAGAAAAGCAGATTCTGCGACCTCGGATTTCTCAACCGATCTTCAGAGCGAAATTAAAGAAATTAAAGAAGAAAATAGGAAAATTTATGAAGAACTTAATTTAGGAATTGAAACTATTAACAAAAAAATTGGCTCTCAGTCTGGTAATGAAATATCGTTAGAGGAGAAAAATGTAGATGCTATCACAGAAGTTTCTATGAAAGAAAAATACTATGAATCTGTAGCTCGTGCGGAATACTGGTCTAAGGCACAAACAATTGGTTCTATTGCAAGTATTGTTGCAAGTACGTTAGTATTGATTTATGAAATTTCAAAATAAAGGGATATTTTCAAGGAGAAATGACAATACAAAGGAATAGATTGTTTTAAAATTGGACGTTTATCATAGGGTGTTGAGAAGAAACACCAGTCTCGAGCTCAAAAACAAGCTTAGATTTTCGAAAATGGAATCCAAATGGACAACTAAATCTTATCGATATTAAAAGGTCATTACTTTATTCAGCAATGGAAGGAGCTGGGAAAATATAGATCGTACTAACTGAAAATAGTGTAACTTTCCTACTAATTTGGACATTAAATATTCTGCCCCTATAAAATCTCTACTCAAGCTCTTATACTAATGTCCTTTCCTTTGTTGTGCTTGAAGCCTTCTCAGTTTTCCTTTATAGCTACCTTGCACCTACTAACTTAGAGACCCACCCCCTGAAATTGTGCCTTCGCGCGCTCCTCGCGCGGGAAGTTTTGTGGTTGGTATGTATAGGAAATCTCTAGTACAATAAGCCTGAAACGAGATGACGTTTTACCCGACCATATTCCTTTTCAAATTGTTTTTTTTTTCCCCTTTAATTATGACTATTGTTCCTGTATTCTCTAAGGGATCAAAAATTTTAATGTGAAAGAATTTTAAAAACTATTATGGTATAGAGTCGGGGGTAAAACGTCATCTCGCTTCAGGCTTATTCGGAATTTATAGGTACGAGTGATGTTTTGAAAGTTTTTTGAGAACTTTCAAAACATCACGAGTATCTATAAATTCCAATTTGTACGAGAAAATTGTGCGATTTTTTCGTTAATAATACACTCAACAAAATTGAGGAAAATTGAGTACAATTGAGGATTTTTTAAATTGTACTCCTCTTGTCCAATTAGAATCGAGTAATTTAGTTGAGTGTATTATAAGATATAAAAGTGCGCGGCTGGAGCGCTTTTGGATTCTATTAATTCTCGTTGGGATGAAATACCTCAGTTATTGGTGGTATAGGAGTCTGTGGCGCGCGTATATAACGACACTTTTCAGCCCGTCGATCCTGATACATCCATGATCTGTCTGTAAACACGTTTACATTGGGACACGTGTGTATGTTGACAACGCCTATGGATTTTTTACGATCAGGAGCCGGCGCATGCGCATTGGTAGAACCTGATTTGGAAAACCCACTCATCGATATATCTGCGACTGTCGATCTTCTGTGAATCAAAAGACTCGATGGGGAAATCTCAGGCACTGGTTTCTCAATAAATGCTTTGATTTTTGTACGTAGGGCATTACATTCTGTTTTCCAGGCTGCTAGGTTTTTCTTGGTCAAGGTATTGTCTTCGGATTTCGCGGTTGGTGTGGTTTGTTCGGGTTTAGTCCAACACTTCAAGGGTGATGTAGAGTCAAAATCTTGCCCATGTTCCTTGTCTTCGTGTTTCGATCTTACAGACAAAGGTGGGAATGTGTTGGAAGAAAAATATTTTTCCAAAATTTCATTGGTTGGGACTCTCGTGTCTGAAGGATGGTGATGGCGGACCACGGTGTCGACCCAGGCCGATCTTGTCGAAGCATGGGTCGCATCTATGCAAAGGTTTTTCTCAATGCGTTTTTCAATATCCTTTAAAGTCTCCTCGGTATGTTTGTGCTGTGATTTTGTAGTCTCTTGGTTCTCGTGGTTTTCAAGATGAGATAAAACGGTCGTGACTCCTTCATTCCCTCCTTGCGCCAACTCATAAGTATTTGTTGACATTCCTCCGACCGTGACACGATTCTTCTTTTTTGGTATGGCTTTCGCTCTTACTCTGGTACTTGACGTAACTCTAATATCCTTTATTTCTGGAGCCAGAATACCTTGTTCGATATCTTCCTTCCGCTCATGATCCACCGCATGCAATTCCTTCGGAACTTCGTCCCTTTTCTTAAAATATTTTACTGAAGTAACGCCAGGAACAATTCTGGGCATCATTGACGCACTTTTAGAATCCCCTGACCTGAATCCGATCCTACTTTTTATCTGAAGTTCCAATTCTCTTTGAACATTCTTTTCGTATATCTCTTGCTTCAGTTTTTCTAACACCTCGTATTTATTATACGGTTTGTATTCCAATTTCCAGCAATGACTCTCAGTACTAGTTTTACGAATCCCAGGCCTTCTTTCGTTGATTGGAAGCGGAAGTTGTCGTTTATGTTGGCTATATTGATTGTTATCCAATGGATTAGATCCATAAGTAGATGTATTAAATCTTAACTTGTAAGATTTTTTCTTCCAAGTTTGGCCAACTTCTTTAGCAGTCATTTTGTCGTCGTCTGACTTATCTTTCATTGCCATGTTTTGCTCTTCAATGACATCCAAAGATTGTTTCATTTTTACAAACTCCATCAGATGGAATCGGACGCGGACTAGACTCTTCACATTAGTTAACTGCGCCACAAATCCTATCCCGTGTGTATAACGTAACTGATTTCCTCAATGATTTCAAATAACTAAAGTTTTTCCTTTAGATGACCTCTCGATACTCTACATCCACAGAAACGTATTTTTAAGAACTCAAATCTGTAGTTATGAACCCTGTTGTCCGGGGACAATCACTGAAATAACGCGCGCGAAGTGTTGTTCAAGTTCTTGTCCAAATCTTTTCAAATAACGGCGTCAAAAGCACTCATTCAGCGACATCTTCAGCGAGGATTGTTCTGACGTTATTTTCTTTTCAAAATCAGACTGACGCTTGGTAAAAATTAAACTTGAAGGTTCCTGCTGAAGTTTTTCAGCGTATAACAAAACATATGTACCGTTGGTACTTAACCTCTAACTTTCTTACTCGAATTACAGCCAAGCTATAGTCTACGAAAAGAAAAGGTTACGGATATTTATGACAGATTTTTCATCAAATCCATAATACTTAACAAATTTTGTATTCATTAAAAGCATCCTTCGTCGTGGAGGAATTCATATAATTCGTGCTTTCTTATAAGTAATGATGCTTGCTATTGTTCAATTCATTTACAAATAATCTACATCTTTTACAGAGTAATGGCATTTTTTATATTTGTTTAATTGAAGGCCAAATATTATTTCTTTAACTTTTATTTAAATATTATTTCTTTAATTGAAGGTCAAATATTATTTCTTTAACTTTTATTTAAATATTATTTCTTTTATTGAAGGTCAAATATTATTTCTATTTTTGATGATGAAGGCAGCTGGTATGAGTTGTTGCAGGATATAGAGGTCTTCTCTGATTGGCTGAAAGTAAACGGGGCCATATGTAAAAAAGATCGCTTTTATAAATACAAACTATTTCATAATCGAGGCTGCATAATACTAACTTGAAGCATAGTTAATAGACTACACCTTTTGCTGTTCATTAACCGCAAAGGAATATTCATT